ACTTGAACAAACACTTAAAAACCAGGTCCCCACAATGCAAAAATTTCTGTGAAGTCCCCACAATATTCTGGTACATTTTAAACACGCTTTATACACTCAACTTGTATAATACCGTTGTGGGAACTCATGCCAGTTACTTATTTTTTCTTATTAGTTTTGTTATTTGTAGCTTTTATCATATGCTCATTAAAAGTCAGATCATATTCTTTTGTAACTTATAATAAGAATCGTTCTTTTTTGCTTTTTCGTGCTATTTTTAGAGAGAAACATTGCTCTACATTGTGGGGACTTGACTGAGGTCCCCACAATGTACCAGGTCCCCACAATGTATGATTAGAACTTGTACAGGTCCCCACAATGTGGGATGCACAAGTACATACACACACACACACACACACACACACACACACACACACACACAGTGTCGAGGCAATAGCTCTGCTGTCTGGAGATTATGATTTCATACTGTTTTGTACATTGTCTAAAATTTTTAGAACAAACGATAAGAATTTGAATACTTTGGTATAGTTGTTATTTATACAGTAAAATACATTACAGTTGATTTCAGTTTTCAGTAGGACGAAAACGTTAGAATTTCATTACGAGTGGTGGAAACGCCAAAGGGTCCTAAGAAAAGAGATTTACAAGAAATCGTGTTATATAAATGGACACAATCTGTTTTCCTGTTTGAGATAAATCACACTTCAACTCATAATCTTACTATAAATTATACAAGCCGTCCAGGACACAATTAAGTAATCTTCGCGAATAGATTTTTACATGCAAACTTTGTGCCTTGTTGCTAATTTCTAATTTCAATGAAATTTTTATGAATTTTGCAAAATCACTATACCCAAAATTCTAAAATTCAAGCGGTGGAAAGCCGGTTTGACTGCACAACATACTTCAACAGGTTCAAAAAACGCCAGATGTGCCCCCCTCCCATAGTTTCAGCTACTTCTGACCAATTATATATTATGAAATGACGCCCGGCCATTCATATAGTGGAAAGTCGTTCTAGATCCAGTTGTTATACACGTCCCATGTTATGTATATACAATATTGTGGACAATAGATGAGAGAGAGAGAGAAATGCTTGGGACAAGTCTAAATTTACCCTGCTAAAAAAACCAGACTTGTAGATTCTCCATTGCTTGCCATCAATGCTGTATGAAATAAAAAACGTCTTGACGTAAAGGTTTAAAAAACTTTGGCGTATTCCTCCGGTCTCTACAGCGGAGATGAGCCGTAATCCAGAAAATGTTACTTGAAGATAATCCCTGAATTTAACCGAATTACGAGCACACCAGGCATAGCGTCTCCCGTATCTTGCCCTCTCTGGTTCTCTATTTACTTGGTGTGAAGATGCTGTGAAATTGAGACCATTTTCAACCAAGCTTGTTTTAATATTGCAAACTAAAGTGAAAACAAAGAACGTAATGATATCAGTTCAATTTCTTTGATGCTCAAAAATCCTAAGTGTGCCCGAGGATGCATCAGCATGATTTTGGTTCTGATCTTTACAACTCGTGCTTTCACTCTACCTAAGCCTTCGACATATTTTCAGGTAAATTATAAAAGTGTTAACAGGCTATAATGGGGAAGTTAAAAGTGAACGCGAAGTACAAATTCCATGCATATCCTACTTGCATTTCTGCGCTTTTTAAGGATCTAAATATTCAACATTTCATCCGTTGAGAAGCCCCCCCCCCCCAAATCCGCCTATGAGTTTTAACCCCGTATCCAATTGTGATAACATTATATTCTTTTCAACGAAAACCCTACTACTTGAAAATATGCACATGAATAACACACTTAATTAAAAAGCCACTGCTTTTAGGTAACATAAAACGTAATTTGAAAATACGACAATTTAACCCCCCCCCCCCCCCCCCCCCCCCCCCCCC